ATATTAAATTCAGAGATTTCTATTTAGAATTGTTTAAGATTCAAATAGCATCATATTTGTGCGTTTTTTTTTTCACATATACTAATAATATTCCACAGACAAACCATAACGAGCTATTAAATCGAGTGAAAGCTCGACTCATTAAAAACATAACATGGACCCCATATGACATTTCATCCGTCTTTGATGAACCAGATCCAAGTCTGCATTTTGAAATAGATGGAGAAAATTCATCTATGAAGAGTACAATATTCGAAGGTAACCAAATAAAATAATATAACATTATAACACAACTAACGAACACTAACCGGAATTAGTCAAAAAATATGTCACATGAAAACACATAGTAAACTTTAATTTCACATAAATTCCGCAGACATAAAAAATTCAGAATCCAGATACAGTACAAAATTGTAAAAGTTTGTGCTAACTAAACTATAAATGCCTTGTGCTAATTAAACTATAAAATTACATTACTTTGGTTCATTTATATGATAAAGCTCGACAAAAGTCAGAAACAATATTTATTAATATTGAAAGGGTCTTGCTTACTATAAACCGATAATATACATAGCATGCTTTAAAAGATCAGAAAAAATCTTTTTTTAGAACTTAGAAAAATCATAATAAAAACAGGTTCCAAAGATGTTTGTGCCTGTCTTCGTCAAATATCTCAACACTCATTCGACAGTTCAGCTTGCTCCAGTGCAACGGAAAATGAAAGAACCGAAGCGGTTTCGGAAGAAAAGCTTCAACGAATCACCGGTAAATCCATTTAAGAATAATATTATTTACTATTAGTAGAAAGTATTATGTTAAATGCACTTATAAGTAATTCAAGCTTATACCAAGCATTGTTCTTGAGTTTAACGAGAATTTCTGCTATAGCCGAGTTAATGAAGTCGTAAACCATAAAAATTAAGAGGTCTTCAGAGAGAGCTTGATTTTATTTTTTTCCCAATTTTGCAATATTTAAAATCCGAAACATTTCAGTAGGGATTTTTTTTGTGTAAGGCGGTACTCCGGTTATTTGATGCGATGTTTGAAAAAATATAAAGAAAAGGTTAAACGATAATTTCTCTATATTTCTTTACAAGTTTTTAAATAATGTACAAGTTTAAAAATATAATATATCAGTCTTGACATCTTTGAAACGGTGGCTCTGAATAAAAAGTATTCATACATCTTTTGTAGCTAACTTTATGCTCTACAATTTTGTTTCGGGTAATTTCTCGATAAAACTGACTATTTAGCTGAAAATCGCAAAAAAAAAATCATTTCTTCGGCCTTTGACCTTGTGCCAAATTTTTAGCTCGCACCGGGACGATAAGGACTTTTGAGATTACTTTCATAATGGTATTTTAAGCAATTATATTAAGTTACAGCCCATTATGAATTATTGTAACCGTCTTGAATTTAGGTTTAAATTAGGACGAAGGAATTAGGTTTAAATTGAACGCGCTATAAAGATATCTTATTAAGTATGTTACAACACAAAATTATTGAAAGCGACTCTTAAGGAAACAAAATAAAACAACGTTTTACGTCTATGTGTACATTTCCTATACATGATTTCTTTCTATTTCAGATCCTGTCTAATTTAAAGCTGATGTTTGCTGAAGAAGAATTAGTTTCAAGCCCTTTTCTCATTTTCATTGGTATTGCGAAATTAGTTATTAGACTGTATTGTAGTAAATGATGACTATATATTTTAGTAAACGACTTTCCTCTCTAGAAGTAATAATGGGTATTTTGCAAAATACCGAGTTTTTCATATTTTCTTTTGATTCAAATTCTAAAATATATAATTTATTTGTAAGTTAAAAGACTTCGGAACAAAGTTTTAATAACATCTATTACGAAAAAGCAATAATTAAACGCAACGACATGTCTACTCTGTGTAATATGAACATCAGTTTTATGGCTTGTTTTGCGAAGCTTAAGTAATTCAACATTGTATCGAAAAATTCATGATTACGTTCAGCATATGTTAGAATCTTTTTAAATATGCTTTTTAAAGATTTTTTTATAATATTTTCAATTAGTCTACATAACGCATACCTATTCTCATCTGTGAAATGATGTTTTGATATTATGCATAATATGTATACTATTATGCATAGTATGTATGTATATGTATAGTAATTTTTTTTTCCAAACATATATCATATCTCGATGAGAAGAGTTTTTTTTAAAAACCTTTTCATTTATTTTATTTTAATTTAATATTTATTTTAACTCAATAATTTTTAAAATTTGTGCTTTGAAAATTGTATAGTAATTGGTGCATTATATTTCCGTGTTTTTTGTTTTTTCTTTAAATTATTTGTATGCACTGAAGATGGGTCAAATCAGGACCCGAAACGATTGACAATAGAACATTTTACCTGATCAAATAGTTTTAATTAATGGATGGAAAATTGAAATACTACTTAATAAAATAGTTTTAATTAATGGATGGACGCCCAAGAACAACTTTATTATAATATTTCACCATCTGAGAAAACCTCTCAATTTATATATAAATGAATATATATATCTTATATATAAAATTCTTCTGTAACTGTGTATGAATGATTAATCCTCCTAAACTATAATTCGGATTTTCATGAATCTTCCTGAAGTTTATTCGGGAAATTGTCTAGAATTATTAGATTCATAGAAATATAGTTAGATTGTAGAAATAAATAGAAAAAATTACAAAAAAACGCTTATCATTGTTTGACCTTGAAAATATTTTAAGCTTAGTTTGACATTAAAAACAAATGAAGACTGTCATTTGTCAAACATTTCTATTCACTTATAGGCTAAAGCAATAATAAAATATAATAAATCCATGATTATAAATAAAGAAAATGTAATGTCTACATTATTAATGCCGAAAAGCAGTTGAGATGTGCCAAAAATTAAAAAAATATAATAACATAGAGTCAAAATGCGTCTGACAAGTGATGCAGTTCTGCGCATGCGTCTCACGGTTGTGAAATGTCAGTTCAATGTAATTACATACCCTATATTAAAATTCAATTTGACAGATTATTATTTTTTAACTAAACGTTAAAGAAAAATTAAAAGCGTTGTTTGCTAATATCTTCAGAAATATTTTAACAAAAATAATGAAATGACCAAAATTATATAAATTAATATCTTAATAAATCACTGCTTTATAGTGTTCTATGAACAATATTAAGCTAGATATGAAAATGGGGTTTTATAGTCCTCAAAATAAGCTTTAAAATGAGTATTTCTGCATGTAAAATGAGTGAGCGATCATGCAAATAAAAGACACATACAATTTTTTTTTTCATTTGAATCAAATTAACCCTTCGCCGTTACAAAATAAGAAAAGTTACGGTAAAATTTATGATAGAGAAAGTTGTAGGTCATTTAATTACCTTTAAAATAGTATATTACAAGTTCTGATAAAATCAGAATTAAAAGAATTATAATCTAATTAATGCCGGGGCTGGTGACGGAGTGCAAATTGTTTTCACTTCTGAACTTAAAATTAAGATTAGCGTATTTCCAGAATATATCATGAAATTATAGCACAGTAAAAAAATCACAGGGCACACGCTTTTTTCCTCCCCATTTACTGCAATAATTTTGTTTATCGTAGGTTGAATAGAGCACATGTGAACTGGATTTGACAAATTAATTCACAACAAATATGAACTTGACTAATAATGTATATTGATTTATTAGTGAGAAAAATGTAATTTAGATATTAAAATTACTAAAAGCCAGTTAAAATATGGTACGAAATTATAAAAATTATACGCAACATTGTTGAAGCAATTATTTTGGGTAGAAAAATTCAATGTGATATTGTACCTATACCGCGAATGCTATATATTAATTCTTTCTGAATATGTTATACCTTTTAAAGACTTCAATTTCCAATACGTATATCTTATGCTATAAATCACAAAGGCAGACGATTTTTCGTGTGATAAATTTGGAAAATCAATGTTTTAGTCGTGAATAAACAAAAAATCATTCATTTATATATCCACATCTACAGGTATGACTAAAATTATTGGATAACCCTTGGCATTAAAATAAATTGAGCTATAGGAAATAAATTAGTTCTATTAATTGCAGTGTATAATTTTTAATATACAATTTTGTTGAACATATTTTAATATTTGTTAAAAGGATCATAATTTTATTTGAAGCAATTCTACATATAACATCACTCATATTTGTGCAAATAGTAATTCAAAAAACAATAATTATCACTTTTAACTGAACAGTATAAATATTAGTATAGGATATTAAAATAATGTAGATGTGGGCACAGGACAACGTCTGTCGGGTCATCTAATATATATATATATATATATATATATATATATATATATATATATACATATATATATATATATATATATATATATATGATATTCAGTTTTCAGGGCAATACATCAATTAAAAAATTTGTATGACTTTAAAACATTTTTATTTGTTGCATTGTGAACATTTATAATATGATATAATTAGGATTGTGCATTGTGAACATTTATAATATGAAATAATTAGGATTAATTCAATTACATAGTCCACTGAAGATGACACAAAACTATGTGTCGAAACGTATGGAAAAAATAAAAATGTTTTAAAGTCATACAAATTTTTTAATTGATGTATTGCCCTGAAAACTGAATATCACATATTTCAACATCAAAATTATAAAAAATTTAATATATATATATATATATATATATATATATATACATAGGTGCAGCAACTGAAATTCATGCCAGATACTTAAAATTCGGTATTTATTGAGGTGTAATGGGTAAAAGCATTTTCCAAGACTATAATAAAATACAAACCGTACATACAGACATTTTGTCCAAAATAGAAAATAAAAAATAATTTGAAGTAAATAATATGGCTCATTTATAAATTTTAAATTTATTCATATTAAAATTAATTAATAGTAAAATTAAAAAACATTTTTATAAAATATTATTGTCGACAACAATAATGGTCGTACTTGTATGCTTGAAACGACAATCAAACTATTATGCAGCTCATTATTCATCAATATAATTATCCGCACGATCACTTGAATTCTTAGTGGCAATAATGGATGAAGAAAACTCGCACATAATTTTAAATTTTTCCAAATCTGTAGGTCGAATACCTTTAGTTACATTATGAGACAAATCAACAGGATCCTGAAGACACATTGAAGCATCAGTTTTTAGGGGTCCATAATATAACTGATCAAGTAACACCATATCGTTTGAATTCATATCGTTTGAATCCATATCGTTTGAATCGAAATCATTTAATGTAGCCCTTGAAATTCGTTGACAATGATCTATATATGGTTTAAATTGCTGAGGAAGTGACATGTAATCTTCAAACTCTTCTTTATTAACTATCTGACCCAATAATGGACAAATCACATTCTGTGAGTAATTGAATTCTCCATAATATTTGAAAAAACCACGCAATAAATTCGATAATTTTTCAGTGCTTTTCGGAAAAGCCACATAGTCTACAACTTGGCACTCCCAACCTGAGATAAAATTAATTTATTTTAGTTTTGAATAATGTCCTCAAATGTGGACACTTATGAAATATTTACTAAAATGAGATTCCTTTGTGATAATGTTTTGACACTAAATTGGAAACGAATTTTACCCTTTCAATTATACTGGTCGATTTCTTTATTATTACCCTATATTGTACAAATAAATTGTAAAAAAATGTCAATTCTGGACTGATTCGTATGCTGACAGTTCCGAATTTTAAAAAAACAAAATGTAAAAATAAAAATATCTCTGTGAAAAAATCTGTGATATCCCCAACTTGCACTGCACTCATGGCAGTGCAATTGTTTAAATTTTCTGGCAGTGCAGTTGTTTGGACGAATTATCCATAAGTAACGTTTGAAAGGTGATATATGTTTTTTGTGCTTCCCAAAATACTGTCCATTTATGAGGTGACCACATTTATGGATTGAAAAAACCTACGGGTTACATCTTCGATCAAAGAAGATTGAATCCAATAATTCATAAATTAATATCCTAAAGCTAATCACTGTGCCCTGCCTTTCCCAATTATAACGCACAAGCAACTCATATATCTGTAGCTAAATTTGCAGTACAATTTGAATATACACTTACCGCAAATAATTTTTTTTTCATGACTACTTCCTGTAGTCATATGCCATACAGGTACAATGAGCTTTTGTAGCTGAAGATAAAATATAACAAGATATGCTATAGCATACCCATTCATTGAAACTTTAATTAGTTTTAACCAATGTTTCAAAATTAATATCATGCGCTTTGCTATAGGTTGATCATTTAATATTCGCCTGAAAAAAATTACTTTTACAAAAAAACAATATGTAGAGAGCAAATTGGAACAATAGTCCATAACAAAAATATTACTCACTTTAATATGACAGTATTTTCAACACCTAAGCCATTTCTAAAAGATATATCACAGTCCATTTTATATACAGTATTAAATGCTTTAATAATTGGTGTTCTAGCTTTTGTAACAGGGAACACAAAGTCCCACTCGTCACATTTTTTTAACACCTCACAACATACATCAATTAACGAATTCTGAAATTGACTGTTTTGGTTTTGTAATCCATTATACATGGAACCTGTAATAATACAAAAATAATAGCTAAGTAACTATATGCTGTTATATGCTACAACCATGCTACAACTACTAATGTTAATTGTAAACATATTTGTCATTATAGTAGAACACCTTTCAAGTTATATCATTTATAAAACATTTAATTGTGATTGTTTACAATAAATTTGACACATATATACAAATTAATATTCAAGAGATTCTTTACTCATAGCTATTTTCCGAACTTTTAATCTTAAACTTCAATTGAATAGTTTTTTTTTCATAGATTTAGAAATTTATTTAAAATTCATATGTTTCGGCTAGCATATTAGGCTTCATTCAGTGGCAATCAATTTAACTATAAAAATTAAAACTAATAAATAATATGTAAGAAATTTCATAGAAAAACAATGATAATAATAATAATAATAATAAAAAACACAATTTTGTATCCTAATATAACATATGAAAACATTATTAATCCATTGTATGAGTATGTGCACAGTGGTAAAATATATATTTTTTAACATCACAGATGGTAAACACATAAATAAACATAACTTAACAAGTTATCGAAATTATGTATTGACTATTCGGAGTCTAAAATAAAATGTCACATTTTTTCTTGAAGCAGTTTTTAACATGTGTTCAAATTTTATGAAAAATTTAAAAAGCGATGGGATCTTGTCATTTTGAGACGCTATTTAGGAACCACCTGTTTGTTTCGTTCAGGGATGTGTTATCGAATCGTTTATTTATGAACCTGTCGTTATGCAATTGCAAAAACAACCCCTCAGCGAATCTTCTATTAATTACGTTTTCACTTAAAATTTTTGGGTTAAAAAAATCTATATTATGATTTGAATTATTTACATGCTCGGTTAACTACCTTTTCAACAAACAAAATCACCGACCATAAAAACCGTTTAGACGTATGTAATTGCAATAGAACCCTCAGTTCCATTTTTACACAAATTAAATCTATGTTTAATTCTGACCGTCTCAGGAACTTAGTATATCAGATTAATAGTTCTACTTGTGAGCTCTTTTATATCGGAGGAACTAGCCAAAACCTGAGTCAGCGCCTTTATCAACATAAAAATAACTCAAAAAATCCCAAACAATTCATAACCATGTTAACCGAGCATATAAATAATTTAAATTATAATATAGATTTTTTCAACCCAAAAATTTTACATTTTGAAGAGAACGTAACTAAAGAAATTCGCTGAGGGGTTGTTTTTGCGATTGCATAACAATAGGGTCATAAACAAACGATTCGACAACACGGCCCTGAACGAAATAAACACGTGGTTCCTATATAGCGTGTCAAAATTTCCTAAAAAATGACAAATCCCATCGCCTTTTAAATTTCTTGTGAAATTTGAACACATTTTAAAAACTGCTTCAAAAAAAATGTGACATTTCTATCTTAGATTCCAAATAGTCAATACATAGTTTCTTCAACTTATTAAGTTATTCATGTTTATTTGTGTATTTTACCATTTGTGATTTTAAAAATATATATATATTACCACTGTCTGTCTTCTCATCTGTTATATTATGATACAAAATTGTAAAGTGTTTTTTATTATTATTATTGTTTTTCTATGATATTTATTTCCATTTCTTACATATTTAGTTCTAATTTTTATAGTTATATTGATTGCCACTGAATTAAGTATAGAAGGATGGATTTTAAGTAAATTTCTAAAACTCTCATACTATTTTTATTGATGTAACGCCCGACTTTCAAACTCAAATTAAATATAAATATATATATATATATATATATAATATATATATATATATGTATGCATACATATAGTAATACAAAAATGTTACCACTGTCAAAAAAAATGTCAAGATCGCTACTTTCACATCCTAAACCAGTCATTCTAGAGCCAAAAGGGTAGGCTTTGCAGCTTGTGAACACTGATAAATTTTTTCTCCAGCATGGTGCAGGTAGCTAATATCAATTCATTCGATTGTGCAGCAGTTTTTGCCATTTGATTAAATTAACAGAGTAGTCATTCAATACTTGTTCATCCTCGATTAAAGTCAAAATTTTTTTTCTAATTTTGCTGTTATTGAATAACATAATTTGTTTCTAATATAAAATTTGGTTTAGATAATACTTATATTTCCAAGTTTTAATGAATTTACCATTGGAACTAATTTTTCCTTTTGTAATAACCTTTGAGAATTCAAATTCAAAATGTGTGTGTTCAAAGTTGGTACCTGCTGGATAGTATGATATAACGCGGCACTCACTGCATTCATGTTTCATTGTAGGAGGATTATCTTTATTAAAGTCATCATTATAATCTGGAATACTAAATTCAAATTAAATTAAAGTATATTATATACCATAATTAGATCACTGTATCTTACTTAGAAATATGATTTGATGAGATTTTATGCAAATTGAAGTCCTGTATAAATAGTCTACATACGCTGCAATAGTGACGAATTTCTAGAAATTCGCTAAGGTTTCTTCTATGGCTCATTCCATTAATATGACCAAGAACACCTCGTTTGTTGAGAGTTAATTTATGACGACACAATAAACATTTTAAAAATCCTTTGTCATTATTCTGAAAAACAATTTAGATTTAAAATTTTATTTGATAACTTATAGCATACATAAAAAAAAATAGTTTGATACAAACCCGAAAATTGCTTATTTAAACTTAGGTTCTTATCACTGAGATCAAAATCGTCCCAAAACTTTAAAAATATTTCTTCTAATTTACGTGTTTCTTCTTTACTATTTCACATTTACATTTTCAGTGTCATTGCCATTATTTGCTTCAACTCCATTATTCTCAATAATTTTTAAATTATCTAATTGACCATGCTCATATTCTTCTCCAAAATTGAATTATCAGAAGCAATTAATTCTACCCATCAAAAATTGCATAATTAGCTTTTGTCATAAATTATATTTATATTATTTTCAACATCGACTGAAAGTGTAAATAGTCAAAACTACTGCAATTACCATTCATCAACGGAACAGCAATCTTTTCATTTGAAAATGCTGGAACACAGCCTATATCCATTCCATCATTTACATAGTATTTAGTAATAGTATCTAATGCCTTAAAAAATTATATATATTAGATACTGAATATAAGTAGTGATAAAATCTTAATTTGATTAACAGCACTTACTTCATTGTCATAAAAATTATCTTCACGACTCCTAAACAGCCACCATTCATATGTGATGCATTTCCGTGTAATTCATTCATAGCACAAAAACTTATTTCTTTTCCATCAATTTTTGTATTTGTATTTACTATACAAATACAATATGACACAATGAGATGCACAAAAGTTGATCCTCTAAAGTTATGTTCAGTAAATTTTTCATGCTGACCATTTGTATTTAGAACCTACAGTTCCAATATATTCCTTATTGTAACTAATAATATTAGTACTATATTTTTGTAGAATACTTAATGATTTTAATAACAAAATACAATGTATTAATATTTATGTGAAACAAGAATA